TGCTTTAAGTTACTCTTTTGCAGGGAAGCATGACACCCGAAGCATACAATTAAAACTAACCATCTTTTATTAAAGTGTTGTGGTGTTTGAATCTTCTGGCATTCTAAACATTGCAAGAAAGCCTGTGCACTTCTAAAAGACACATCTGCCAGTTTCACCAAATGAAAATCAATTTCCAACATCACTTCTAAATGCTGGTTTAGAAGATGCTTGATCCCACTGAAACCACACTGATGAAAGGAGTAGGCAAAGTGACCAACTTAAAACTTACCATTCTCCTTTTCTCCTTCTGTTTTGAGCTGCAATTTACCACTCAGCTAATAAATAGATGTGGGCTAAAATTAAAAATTGATGTTCATGTGCCTTATCTGTTCCACCCCCATCCTGTAACAGCTGCAAAACTTTCTCCTCCACCCTGCCATGTTCTTGCTGCACTTTTTAGATCTTTACAGTTTTGGACTTATTGTGGGTACAGCCTCTGTGAGGCCACTAGTTAACAGCTGGGGACCACAGCAGTACCTGAGAAGTGCATCCAGAAGAGCCCCTCCACCACTCAAGATGACTGGCTGACTCAGACACACCCCCAGAACTGCAAGCACCACACAGGAGAACAGGAGCTCCTCCAAACAAACAGAGCATGTGTTTCCCCTACAAACACCAGTTCTTTGGTTTAGTGCTACCAGGATTATCTGCGTACAATCCTCACTTCAGTGTTTAGATACATCTGGTTCTAAAACCCTAAATACAATTCCAGCGGTATGGCTTCAACTGAACTCAGGGGAGCAACTCATGAAAGAACACCAGTTTTCCCATCTAAGTACCTAAACCAGCTACAGTTTCAGACAGAAGACTCCACGTATGTCCAATGTTTCATGCTCTGACATGTGCCTCTCCTTCTCCAACAGGCTCCTGTTGGGCACACGTGCCCAGAGTGATAGAGATCTGTTCCAGGTCCTTCCCTCAATCTTGAGGAAAAAGGACACACACTGTTTACTCTGCCAGTTTACAGGCATGCCCAAATGACCAGGCCAGGTGGTACTACTGGTTTTGAAAACAGCCACAGCAGAGACTGCCTTGATGACTGCTATCTTGCATGCACACCTCAAGGACTGGTGAAGCTCAATTTTCAGAAAGACATCTTTGTTATGTCAACTTTCCAGTGAAGCTTCCATCTTCACTGATTTGACTAGCTAGGTATCTCCCACTGAAGCTGATCTCAGCTCCAAAACAAAGATTCAGTACTCCAGGCTGCAATGGAGAGCTGACTGGATAAGTACGTGATGTGTGCTCTGTGCACCCCTATTACAGGGCACACGGGCAACCTTCATGATCCTTCAGAAGGTGGACACAACACAGCAATTGCGGCAGGATCCAAGAGCCCAGAAACAATATACAGCAAAGGGAAATCTTGCTGTAGCTCCAAGAAACAAGACCTGCTGCTCTTTGTATTCAAAGCCCGACCAAAACTCTGCATTCACACAGAGATCAAGTCACCAGCTAAGAGACCTAAGCACACTATGGAATCAAGCCCCTAACAGCTCTCTCACATCTTAACAAATTTCACATGCTTGGTTGCTTGACACCTATTTAAAATGAAAGATGGAATATTCTTGCTACTGTCTGGTCCCTAGGCTGTTCTTCAAATACACAAAGGTGCTGGCCCCAACTCTGCTTTAAGTGGTGCGCATCAGCACCCTAGCAATCAGCACGGTACTTCACTTACATTGTGTAACCCTCTTCCAACTTCCAATGCAAGCTCTTAAGTCACAGGAGCATCAGGCACATGAGCCAGTGGCTCTCTCAAAATCAGGCACCTGTTAAAGCTCAGCCCCTTCCCTACACCAGCAGTACCACTCTGATCCTTAAGACCAAAAGTAAATAAATGCATCCAACAAGGCAACCTATGCTAATGCTATTTTAAGGTCTGACTCCTGACACATGTGCTTCATCCCTGAACCAGGGATGCAACACCATATTGTTTTGCTACACTCCTCCCCAAGTCCAGACCTGATTCCCGATGACAGCCAGAATCATTCAACACAGTAGGCAAGAAGGGCAGTGAATGTTGTAAAAATGTTTGTGTGCCAAAACATTTCTTGTGAACCTTTGTGCCCTACTGTCACCATGACCCAGCATCATCTGCAACATCAGATAATTAAATTACTGATGACAGGATTCCCTGTGGTGTATCAAGTTTATGCCAGTTGCAGGTCTAGAGGCTCACTAAGTAAACTGACTGTGAGCAGTGATTTGGCATTGGTCTGTGAGACTATTAACCAACACTACTTCCCCCAGTTTATCCTGTGTGACCAGAGATCTTCAACATATGGGCTGCATCTCATGGATGCTCACTGTGGCAGTAGCTGATATTTTTCAATGCAGCTCTTCTCTGTAGACTCATTAAAATAACCAAAACCAACTACAGACCTAAAGAAAAGGCTCCTTAGTTATTTGAGGACAGATTTTTCAAAGCTACTTTGACACCTCGAATTTCATCTCAGTATACAGTGACTTTATGGAGAAGTTACCCACACAGCTAAGAGATCTATCTGCACTGAAACTAAGCTGCAGAAAGTTCTAATGATGTTTCACAATGGTACTAGATAAAGTCTTATACCTCAAGCTCCCTGTGACTAGTTACAGGGACAGACTTTTGCCCAGAGACAGGGCATCTTAAACACATTTTCAGGCAAATATTGCAGAGGAAGAAGTGTAAAGGCTTTCTGTAGAAAATGTCTTTATCTTTCCTGACAAAAAAAAAAAAATGTTAGCTGCTACAAAATATAAAAGTATTACTGTCAGAATAACAGCTGCTTCTTTTCAGCTTTCTCTATCACCAGACTGGTAATCACTGCCCCTAAACAGGAAATAAGTTAATTTGGCTTGGAGCACCAAACTAAGAATCCATGCAAAGTCTCAGCAAATAACTTGAGGGACATGAAAGCTCTCTTCAGAGATTTCTGCAACAATATTTCAAGCTCCACTCAAATCCTGACAAGCATTAACATAAAGCAAAAAACCTTCTCACCCTCCCAACACCATTCTATTGGGATAATCTTTTAATGGCTGTAGTTGAGCCTCTTGTCAATCAGTCTGCCCTCATATTTTCTAGCAGAATAAAACAAAGAAAAGAAATATTTTTCAGTTGCAGCCTTACATGTGAAATACACCAAGATCCCCATCCAAATACTACAAAGAGATATTTAAGGAGCTCGCTTTCTGCTAATCTTTTTTTCCTCCCTTTTTAACAGTCTTTTACAGTGAGGTGGCCCACTTGCTTTCATCTGCCTTTTGGAAAAAGAACAGTCTTTTGAGCATCGCTGACAGGCAAAGTAACAGTGAAGAAGCTTTTCTTCATTGGAGCTGTGAGAGATACACTCTCCGATATCATCAGTTGAATGACAGCAGCACTGAAGACACCAAGTGCAGTGCTAAGTGTCATACATACAGGGCTTAGTGCTATGCCAGAGAAAGAGACATTTTCCAGCTCCGAGGGTTTGCTAGGTATAGTGCTCTGAGACAAAGGGAAACATTACAAATAGAGAACCCCTATGCTGGTATTAGGGATGACCTTGATGTTCATTGAGACTTACAAAATCCAAAAGGCAAGCAACTCAATTCAAACCATTAAGGGGTAATTGCTGCGTAAATCCAACTCAGTACAAGGCTGCAACAAAAAAGTGTTTTGCACAGTTATAGTATGCACAGCAATATCACCTATTCACTACTCCACACTAGAAGATTTTTCCCTGAATGCTATCTTAAGAAGTAGAACAGCAGTATTTCATCTCACACAATAGTTCAGCTAGCCTGGGGGCCAAGGGGGCAGAGACTACAAAAAACAACCCCACAGTGCATGCATTCTACCCAGTTGATATAAATACAGGCAACAGCCAAGGAGAGGTCACCGACAGCCTGATGCAGTACACCTAGACAGCCTGATCCCCTCAAGCACCAAAAAAAACACAATGATGATTTCCTCTGCTCTCCCCATCTGGCCTGACCTGCAAGCCAAGATGCAAGCTTGTCCTCATAAATCCCCATACACTGCTTTTTGTCCAAGTTTATACCCCATCTAAAAATACAGCTGATCTTAACACCTGCACAACAACTAGTCAGAACTTCTTCGGTGTTGCTCTTAATTTCACTCTTGCTGCTAAGAAAGGGATACCCATTCATTAATGAAGCAGCAGACCTTTTATAAGAGCAAATAGCCTCTGAATAACAGGTGCTGGGTAAGGCACAGTTATAGGCATCTTTACTGATTCCTAATGGAAGAGCTGCACTGGAGATTGTGAGATCCACCATGCTGAACCTGCCCGGCAGCTGATTGACTGTGCTGTCAGGTAGTGATCATGCATGACAGCACTGTTCACAAGAATTCTGCTGTGCCCCAGATAACTTTTCCACAGGGAAAAAAAAAATGAAAGAAAAAAGAAAAAAGAAACAACCCACAGAGCACAAGTGAAAGTTCTCAGCTTATTCCTTTACAAGAGTATGAGTGACCCTTACATGGCTGGCACTATTTACATTTTTTCCTTAATTGCAATCCTTCCCAGGACACTATTTATAAAGTTTACATCAGCATCCAACTACAAACAGGGCATTTTTTTCCATGAGCTCTAGCAGATAACTTTAGCACAACTTACTAAATCCCTCTTTCTGCACAGGAAACCATTAAATGCATCTTTAGATTATTAATTGGCAGGGAGGGTTAATTATTCTGCGCCGGTGCATATGGTCCTTCAAAAGGCAAAACACCCCCTTGCTTTACGCTCTGAAGGAGCATACACACCTGTGGCGGTTTATCAGAAGGCAGGGTTTAATAGAAGCTACACGTTTCAGACTCCCCACCCAGCCCGGGACCCCTCTGAGGCACGGCAGATGCTGAGGGGCTCCCGGCCAGGGCAGCCGCTCCCGAGCCGCTCTCCCAAAGGGAAGGTTACGTTCACTGCCGGGTGCTCCCCACAGGCACCCCCTGTCCCGCCCTCGGGGCTCACCTCGCTCATGTCGCGCAGCGGCGGCGGCGGCAGCCCTGCTCGCAGCAGCCCAACCGGCAAAGCGCTCCCGCTGCCCCGCACCGAGCGTTAAGAACCGGCGCCCCGCGATCAGCCCGGCCCGCGCCAGCCAATGAGCGACGCGCCCGCGACGCGTCCCCGCGCCACCACCCCGCCCCGGCTCCCCCATCCGAGAGAGCGCCGCGCCCCCTGGCGGCGGCGGCGGCTCCTTAGGGGCGGCCGCGGGTACCCGGTCCCCGGCGCTCCTTATTCCGCACAGCCCGGACCCCGCCACCGCTTTATCCCTCTCGGCCCCAGAACACAGCGGTCACAAGGAGCGGGACTGGCGCTTTCCCCGGGCGGCCGGCACAAACAGCGCTCCCCTCGGGGGGTGCAGGGGAGAGCAGCAATCACTGGGGCAGACAGCCCGGGTGCGCGGCAGGGGGCTCGGCTGCCAGCTTAGGCACCCTTCAAACTGTGTGCTGGAGGTGGCTTGAAAGCGCGACTTAATGCGTGTGGTTCATAGAATCGTAGAATCACAGGTTCATAGACTGGTTTGGCTTGGAAGGGACCTTAAACATCATCTGGTTCCAACCCCCCTGCCATGGGCAGGGATACCTTCCGCTAGACCTGGTTGCTCAAAGTTCCTTGTTGAACTTCATGTGGTCACTGGCCCATCTCTGAAGCCTGTCCGGGTCCCTATGGGTGGCATCCCTTCCCTCCAGAGTGTTAGGTTAAAACGTCAAAGTTCCACAACTGTCCTTACCACCTGGGGCTCTTCCATGCTGCTGAGGGCTCAGCAGGTTGTCACACAAGTCTCACTGCCTCTTCTGTTCTTCATCCGCCTGCTGTCACAGATATACGGGAAAGAGTCTTTCTTTTTGATCATTTTTCTGAGCGAGTAATTAAAACGGAACTTTGGAAAGTGTGCTGTTCTACCCCAGCATCCATCTTTTGATGGAGCACGGTTACTATATTGGGTAATACAAATTCAGATGCTCTGACTCATGTTATCTGCGAAGAAATATAGATTCAATTTGGTCTGGGAATGCATTTAACTTCCTCAAATTTTTCTCAAATCAATAAAAAAGTTAACGCATTATTTTGGAGAGCCCAAGAAGCTTGCCAAACCTTTCCGCTTCCAGAGACTACCTTGCAGCAGCCTCTTCTCTTCATCAAAGTCTATATTCAGGACCAATCTTAGCAGAGACAGTGAAATAAATTTTGTGAGCCTTTTCTGGAAACTGCCTTTCCCCTCTGAGTTGCAGAGGCACAGGCACTGCAGCTTCACCTTCCCCTACCACCTTCCCCAACCACCTTCCCCTACCACCATGGCTGGGATTGGAAGGGACCTTAAAGATCATCCATTTCCACCCCCCTGCCATGGGCAGGGACACATTCCACTGGTCTAGGTTGCTCAAAGCCCCATCCAAAACTTTCCTTGGACACTGCCAGGGATGGGTCCTGCAGATGCTCAGTAACAGACGAGAACATGGACCTTTCCCATTGCAGTCACCACCACCACAACTTTCAGTCTGCTCCTGCCTGAATGCCTGGGCCATGTTCCTTCCAGCACTCATCACCAGAAGGCCTGGGCTGGGCTCCTCCATCTGAGGATGAGGAGTCTCCACAGGTAGTGGAACCAGGGATATGTGTTCTGGGAAGAATATAGGGATGCTGCCCGGATAGGTAGAGATGGGGTTGGAGAACCTGAGGCACAGCTGGAGCTGAATTTGGCAAGGGATGTGGAGAATAATAAAGAAGGCTTCCACAGGTGTACATTGGCCAAAAAATTAAGATAAAAGAAAACTTACGCTTCTGGTAAATAAAACAGGAAAGCTGGTGACAACCAACATGGAGAAGGCTGAGCTACTCAACACTTTTTTTCATCAGTTTTCAATGGTTTTCTTGCCTCAGTTTTCATCTCTTTTCCCACATCTGTCAAACCCCTGAACCTCAAAGCAGAGACTCGGAGAATGAAATCTCTCCTGTTGAAAATAAAGTTCAGGTGAGAGACCACCTGAAGAACCTGAACAGACAACTTCATGGTGCCTGACAAGATGCATCCCAGGGTACTGAGGCAATTGGCAGTCAGGCAAAGTCCCCAGTGACTTGGAAAATAAGAAACATCACACCCATGTTTCAAAAGGGTAAAAAGGAGGACCCTGGGAGCTACAGACCCAGGGTCAGCCTCACCTCTATGTCCAGTAAGATCATGGAACAGATCCTCCTGAAAGATTTGTCAAAACACAGGGATGGTGATTAGAGACAGCCAACATGGCTTCAACAGGGCAAATCATGCCTGACTAATCTAGTGGCCTTCTACAATGGAGTGGCTTCATCAATGGGCAAGGGAAGAGCTACACATGTCACCTACCTGGACTTATGAAAGACCTTTCATATGGTCCCCCATTATATTGCTGCAGAGAAATATAGGTTTGGCAGATGGACTGTTGGATAAGGAATTGGCTGGACAGCCACATCGGAAGAGTAACAGTCAATGTCTTGATGTCCAGGTGGAAGCCAGTAACGAGTGGTATCCCTCGGGGATCTGTACTGGGACCAATACTATCTAATATCTTCATTAACAACATAGATAGTGGGATTGAGGGCACCTTCAGGAAGTTTGAAGGTGACACTAAGCTGAGTGGTACAGTTGATTCACTACTTCTCTGAGGAAAAAGGAAGAGCCCTGCCTTTTATCTCTCCTGGGCTCCCAGGTTGGCAAGACCTGACCTGCCTACCTTTGTAAATGCATTCATACCCTTCTACTTGAACTGATAAACATGTTATTGTATCAGCTCAGAAACTTGCTGCCCTGGCTTCTGTGCAAGAATAAAATGCTAAAGCATGATTTATCCTTGTTCTGGAGAAATTTGCTGGTTCCTGACAAGGTAAGAGTCAGTGCAGCAGTTCTTCTCAGACACTGATGTAATTACTAGTCTAAGTTAGCCACTGTAACTTTCAGTCTTCATTTTGAGTAAGGATATGTGGGATCCCAGTCTTACAAGGAAGCAGAGGGGTGGCTGCATTGTGTGAATCCATGTAGCATTGATCCAGCAGCAGGCAGAGGACTTTCTTTTCCCCTATTAAACACAATGTCATATTTGCAGTTTGTGACATTATGTGACTAGTATTTTTTCTTCTTTAACCTGAGCTACTGCCACATTTGCAAATACAAATAGTTTCTTTAAAAATGAGTTCACAGCATGAGGTGGTTAAAGAAGAATCATCCCACTAAATGAATGGATTGCCTGGTTGTGTGATTAATAGGTATAGGTTAAGTATGAGTCCTGACATTCACAAATGGGGATCTCAACATTGCAGGGACTCTAGCTGTTATGAATGTTTGAAGTCTGGAAAAGGTTCTCCCCACACCCCACTCTGGGGCTTTTCTGAGACTTCTCCAGGTTACTCGTGATAACAAAAGAGGGGGAAGACCTCATTTAAAATGCCATCTTTGGTCGTCTTTCATCACGCTATTAGTCTCAGGACCTCCACCAGCATTTGGCATTTTTAAAACAGATACTTATTATCCCAGCTCTTTTGTGAGTGAACCAAACGGGCAATAAGCATGGTAAGAGTTCACTGCATGAGTAGCTTCAGGAGTGTCAATACAGTGTAAAGGTCCAAAGTAACTATGATGGAGTTTAGCCCCTGAAGAAGCTATGTATTATGTGACAACATCTTCCAGTGAAAAGTAATTGTGGGTACAATGAACTAAGATTTTTATTCTGACAGGAGTGCAATGATGTGTCAGTTTACGGACACAAAGCACAACGCTAACACAAAACATTAAAGGGGTATTTCTATCTAAAGGCCCTATAATCATATGGTAAACAATACTGACAGCTGAGAAAATCTTTTCAGTTCCCACTGACGCTGATAGGAGTCATATTGGTCTCGCTCTTCCTTATCAAAATAAATGTGTCAAATTCAAGAAGAAACTCACATGGTGATAATTCAGCCTGTGCATGCCACTATGCACAGAGAAGCACGTTGGCAGCAAAGGCTCTTTGCACTAGATTCAGCAGGGAAACATAGAGTGTTCTACTTTTCTGACCTGTTTTGAGGAGTTCATAGTTTCCAAGACAGGCACACTAGAAAGCAGACTGAGCTGTGCCTGAGGAAGCCCAGAGTCCACTGACATTTAGTCCCATGTCCTCAGTATCAGCCACTGCATGACATCCCTGTGGTCCCAGTTCAGTACCTGTAGGTATGATTTATGTGAGCTGGCATTTTTGAGGAAAGAGCTGGCCAGATTGCCTAGTGGGAAAAGAGGAGGGTGGAAATCCCTTCCTTCTCCAGGTCCTATGTTAAATTTGAGTTCATAGGCAGGTTGCCACCCTTTTCAAATACAGCACCAGGCATGATCTCTTCTTCCGAACAATAGTGCTCATGGTGATGGCAGTGCCCTCCATGCAATGACTTTCTACTCTGAGCACAACTTTCTACTCTGTAGCCTGCAGTAGCAGTATAAGCCACACAAGCTGCCCTCAGACAGGTTCCTGAGGGAGCACCAACTCCTCTCTCCCCAGTGAAAGCCCTTGACCTGCAGAGATATATCTGTTCTTTCTCTCTCCTTCAGAACTGATATTCACTCCCTCCCAGATTTGTATATCTTACACTGGGGAAAGATTCCATAGCCAACCAAAACAATCTAGATATCAGCTGTGGGCTGAAAAGCTGTATGTCTCTCCCGCTTCTCAGAGTGGACCTACTGAACTTACTATCTCTTGAATGCATACACACAGAGATGCACAGATATGTCCTCATCTTGGGTGCAACCTGAGCTCTGATGTTTTCATTTATGAGCCAGCTTAACTTCAAGTATCTTGAGTTCTGTAAATGCAACAGTAACTTGAACTTTTCAGAAAGATCTTATTGATATTTATTATATTTACAGTGTGTCTTTTATGCTGTCTCATGGTACCAGGTTTTAGTTTTGAGGTATCCCTTCACAGGCAACCTTTCTGACCTACCCTTTAGCTTAAAGGTGCCCCAAAGCTCAAGTTTACTTAAGTGCACAGATAAGTAGTGACACTTCTAAATAGAGAAAATGTTCTAAGCTAATCTATTTTCAAGAGCTGTTATATCCTGAAAATTGACTATTAAAATACCACCTCCTTATTCATCATGTCTGCACTCAGTATGTGTTCAATCTTGTCTGCTGGCATATGACTGCAATTTTACTGCCTTTTACTCCCACTTAACTGAAAGACTTAGCAGAGAGGAGAGAGCATCTGAGCTGGATACTGAAACAGAAAGGTTCACAGGCTTCCAAAGAGTTTTATCCATCTGAAGGGATTGAAGACAGCTCTGCTCTGCAAGAATAAGCAGTGCATTAATTGAAGAACCGTGTGTTGCACATGTGCAATGAAAGAGCTATTTGTATGCTCAGTCTTTGTAACTGGCAATGACACACAAGTGCATGGTCTTGCTTTACTTTAGATCTCGCTATTGCAGGTGTCCA